TGGGAGAAGTGCTGCTACTGGCCGGTAGAGGGTAGAGCCCAAGGGTACAGCTAAATACATGGCAGTGCACAGAGCAAAGCAATGCCCTCTCCCCGATTCCCTGTACAAAGAATGATCTGGCCCCCAGTGTTATGAGCCGAGGGTTGAGTGTCTCCCTCACAGGGCTGAAGACTAATTGGCACAGCCCCCGGCACAGAACAAACATCAATAAATGGGAACTACTATTTTTAGGACCGTACTTCCCCCAAATTAAAAAAAAAAAAAAACACTTTGAGTGGGGAGGAAGTGGTAATATGGCAAAGTTAGGAATTGACTCTGCTGAGGCCCAATTCTGGTGACTTCTAACTGAAAGGGATCTTTGATTTTTTTTCTTTTTCAACAGCCACTGGGTCTTCACAGGCTGTTTGCGGCCGTTGATTAGAACTGAACGTAGTAGGAAGGGCTTCTAATTCCTCCAGGGTTTTTAGCTTCATCAGCAGCCAGTAGTTCAAGAACATTCCTACTAAGCCCTTGTCTCTCGGATGTTCAGCTTTCTCTGGTCGACTCTCCCTGTGGTTCAAAACCACTCAGGTTTCTCTTGCTGGAAAACCAAAACGAAAACCCTCCCTGAGCCTCACACTCTTCCTCAGTGCCCAGCCTTCTCTTCTCATCCTCTTCCTGGGATTCCAGAGGTGTTTGCCTCACTGCCGCCTCTCAGCCCACTCCCCTGTGGCCTGCCCTGCCATGACCTCCTCCCCTTCCCGACAATGAGTTTCAAGCCTCATCTTACATCTTCCCTGCATTCAGCACTGCTGACCACTCCCCCTCAAACATATCCTCTTGACTTTCCCGTCCTACCCACCGCTCGTTCCTCCTACCACTCTGATCTATTCTGTTCACTCTCCCTCTTCTTCTCAAAGGTTATAAATGGAGCTCTTAGAGGTTCGGGCCAAGGCCGCCTTCTCCCTCTATGCTCCTGCTCTACTCAGCACCAAAGCAACTGCATCCACTCCTAGATCTGCACTCATCTCCCACACAAGAGACTCACGATCCACCCTGGTTGCCGCTGTTCCTTGGAGCCCCCAAACTGGAGTATGTACATCTGCCTGTTCGCCAGATCTGCTTGGTGGCCTCAAAACCCTCAAACTCAACACACTTACAGCTAGTCTTGTGGGCTGTCCTACGAGCCTGGTCCAATTCCAGGGCCCCTGTCCCAGGGAATGGCCTTGCCATCCACCCAAGTGGGGAAGCCAGAAGCTAGGTGAGTTCCTCCATCCCAACAGCCACCTGCTCCCTCAGTGTCCCCCAGGGTCTCTCCTCCATACTGTCCGTGCATGATTGTGTGTACTTACCTAATCCCCCCATTTCTCCTTTGCTTCTCTAGAGCCCCCATCCTCCCTGCAGCCAGAGCCATCTATTAAGATTACGTCTAATGACATCACTCACAGCCCCACCTCTGGGATCTCTTGAGGCCATTGCTCTGATAAAACCCAATCTCCCTCCTTACCTTGGCACACAAGGCTCCACAAGGCATCTGGCCTGCCCTCCTCCTAGCCTAGCAATCCCTGGTGCAGCCCTCTGTCCTCTGCACCAGCTTGATGGTTTTCTGATCCTGCAGCTCACCAGGTAACCCACTGGTCCCCCCTCAGGCCACCCACCTCCCTCCATGGACACCTTCCATACCATCCACCTGTGGTCTGCAGCCATGTATTTTTTTTTTTTCCAGCACTCCTTGTGATCATAATCTTTTTTTTTTTTTAAGATTTTATTTATTTACTCGGGGGGTGGGGCTGGGGACAAGTAGACCCCTTGCTGAGCACAGAGTCCAGGGTGGGGGGCTTGATCCCAGAACCCTGAGACCATGACGTGAGTCAAAATTGTAAGTCAGACACTTAACCAACAGAGCCACCCAGGCACCCTGGTTGTAATGTTAATCATACCTTCCACCTGGGGGTGTGGGGCAAGAGGACACAGTAAGTTTTATGAGGCCACTCACCCTGTCCTTTGTGCTTATCATTATATTCCTAGCACCTGGACACAGAACTTTACACTCATTAAATATAGTGAATAGTAAATGTTCAACAAATAGAAGCTATGATTACAACCTCCAAGCAGAACCAGGGAGACAGCAAACTCTGGACTGACCCCAGAGGACCTTCTGGATCCAAACTCCATCCACTCTCATCCCCTCTTTGCCCACGTGTCTTGTTCGACTTGATGAGGGTCACCTGGGCCAATTCTGGAAGGAAAACTAAGTGTGGGTGGATGCCTGGGTAGCATGGTGGGGTTTAGTGCTTTTGCTACGTTGGCTGAGTCTTTCCACCAGCTGGTCTGGTTGCAGGGGTCGGGGGCAGGGGCTGTCTTTCTCTCAGGAGTACCCAGAGGTCAGCTGAGCAACCTGGAAGCCAAGCTGCTTGAAGGAACCCAGAGGAGCTGAACTCCCATGAGAAAAAGAGAGGAATGGCTTCCAAATAGCCAAATTGTTCTAGGCAAAGACAAACAATCACCAAGGTTTGGTTCTTGAGTATGTATTTTTTACTGAAAAAATCATTCATAAATTAACATACAAAAATGTACAAACACATGAGTAAATAATGTAATGACAAAGGACTATTTTTGTGAAAAGTGTTTTTAAAACATCTTTAGATTTCAGTGCAAAAACGTACCCCTGGCACCTCTTAAAACATAAGAGCAAGCTCAAAAAAAAAAAAAAAACGTAGTGATGGAAGGAAGCTAGCTACCTTCAATGCCATTGTCAACGGTGAGTGGACACAATCAATACTTGTGGCTGTTGCTCAATTATTAACGTCTGTGGTAGAGGAGCTCCAACAAGAATCCCTGTAATGTCAAAAGGAATATTTTTGCAATAACTCTTCGCCCAGAAAAACAGCATGAAAGGAGAAACATTTCCCTGCAAGCAGCTAAGACAAGACTGATTTAAGGGGTCACCCATCAGTAGCCTTAAAAGAATTTCAGCTGCCAAAATACGCACAAGGTCACATTTGATTCTTATTGTTCTTTTTTTTTCTTTTTTTTAACTTGAGAATCTCACACCATTAATAGCTCACGGGCCTGGCTGTATGTTCTTAACTTTTATGTTTCCCACACGATCCTCGACCTGGTGGGTGAATGACTAAGCGGTGCGCAGTAAGAGATTTCACACTAATAAAACAAACTCACACATGATCGCAAAATAATTTCAGTGACCTTACTTCAAGCAGTGAAAAGACACCTTTCCTTCTATCCTCAAATCAAGCATTTTCTTTTTAAGATCAAGTGTTGAGCCTTTTGCCAATGTTTTGTTCTTGGTGGGTAAATACGTTTGTGAAAAGCTTTGCACGGGACCATTTTACAACACTGCTGTGTACACACATATCATCTTTAACCAAGGACTGGCCCAACCTAGCAAATTCTTCCAAATGACATCATGGCTGTATCATCCTGAAAGTGGCTCACAGCCTTCAGTGATGAGAGAGGACAGGAGAAGGAAAAGGATGAGGAGAGTCAAGACCAGCACACCGGCCTAGGGGGAGGCAGGAGAAAAGGGAGAAAGAAATCTTTATTGCTCTGGGCACCAGACTTCAAAGGAAAACTAAGTGAGCTCCTGTGTGTAATGTTCTGTTGTGAAGGTCTTTTAAAGCATGAGATGCTCAACATTCTTTTAAAACATAGGATACAACTTACCAGCATTTTCAAGGGCAGCAGCCTGCTCTCTCATATGAGCCGATAAGAGCTTTGTAATGCAGTTGCTTTTCTAAAATACCACTCTATTCTTCAAAAGAACAAAAGCACGAACAAAAAACAAGGCCTGGCCAATCACTCCCACAGCTTGTGGGGATCATATGTCCATGGAAGCGACACATGCAACGGAGAAAACCCCAACCCACACGTATCTACACAAATACACTCCCCTACACACACATCCATGTAAACCATGAAAATTAAGGAAGTTGAAGGCAAACAAGGCAATTAAAAAAAATATGAAGTACTTTTCAGAAAGTACTCCTAATCACAATATATAAATATGTTTTATGGAAAAGGAGAGGAAAAGACTGGCATTTTTCAGAATCCTGCAGAAGGCAAGAGGGACCAGAATCGAGGGATTTGGCTCAGGGAGAAACAGAGGCACAACTTCAAGGGCAATTCAGAATCTAACTTCAAGAAGTGCATGGGGTGTGAACCCAGCACACAGGCTTGGGTCCTGGCATTGTCTGTCCACCTGCAAAACTCAGATGGGTCTACCCTGGCCCCCAGCTGACCCACAGAACACAAATGTCACCTGCTCCCTGGCTTCTTCAGTCCATTGCTCCTTAGTTCTAGGAACTGGTTCATAATGTTGACAAAGAATCTTTCCAGAAACTGAAAAGGGAAATATTCAGAGGAATCACTGAAGCTAGCTGATAATTTAGGCACAGATTTCAGGAATTGTGGCCAAGTTCCAAAAGAGCAAAATAAAATAAAAAAGAGGCAGAAAACTGACCCACCCACCCTACCCCACCACTCTCAGTGATGAAAGAACAAAGAATAAAGTTCAGAGATCCAGGGGTGTGTGGACACAGAGGCCCCCCAAAGGGTCTGCTTTGAGCAGGAGGGCTCCTGTTTAGCAGAAGACGGGGATGAGACTGTACATGCCCAACTGGGAAGAGAGTCCACAGCAAAAGTCAAGAGCAAGACTTCTGGAAGAGGAGGATGGGAGGGGGCAGGAGTGAGCTACCAGTGATAGGCTGGACTGTCTCAATCTGTTTGCGACATGCCCTATGTCCACTCCCTTCCAAAGCGATAGCAATTTGGGAGGTGATAGCCTTCCACTGCATTTTAACTGAGTTCCCGCATTTGCCAACCAAATAAGTGATCTAATATATAAATCCTCGGTTTGAATTGGAGCCAGCTATAAAATTAAATTTAAAAAAGGCATTTTACATGGCTTATTTACAATTATACTTCTTCAAGAAGTGATTATTATAGGTCTATTTATCTTCCCCAATCCCTCCCCCCACCCTCCATCCCCACCCAAAGCAGGTAAAGAAAGAAAGAAAGAAAGAAAGAAAGAAAGAAAGAAAGAAAGAAAGAAAGAAAGAAAGAAAGAAAATGAAACCAAAGAGAACACCAGAGATGGAGAAGAATGGTGTGTGGAGTTTCATTTGCTCTTCCTAAAACGCAGCTGCCCTGTGGTGGGATTGCCTCTTTGCTCTGAAGGCCAAGAAGCTTCAAAGGCCATTCGTAGGAACAGGCTCGGCGCCAGGACCACAGCAGAGCTCAGTTCCGGGTCTGGAGATCCTGGCTGAGACGGGACGCTGGGGTAGGCGACCGGGGGGTTGGGGGGGGAGGAGAGCAGCAGGACAGACATCCGTCTTGTGAAAATAGAAAGCCAGTCCTGATGAAGGAAGCTCCCCATCCACAGTGAAGGCGTTTTGTGCGTGTATACTGTTCACATTTTCTCCTCAAACCCTGTGATCCTTCATCAGACACTGTATTTCTATTCTCTTCCTGGGTGGAGCCCCAAGACCTCACTCCCCAGGTTGCTTTCTTGGTGGTGGTGGGTAAAGCAAACACATGTTTTCTCCTCATCTCAGTACTCGGTCACCTGAGCCAGCTCGGGTGTCAAGTTGACAGTAATGTTTTTATACAAGGCGTCGTATGTGATGTTTGCAAAGTAGTTCAAGTTGTTGAGGCCGTCCAGCCCTTGTCGTTCTTTGGACTTCCGCAGCAGAGCATACCTGTTTAAGCAGAGAGCAGAGGGGTGGCTCTGAGTGAGGGGCCAAAGCCCAGGGTGGTGCTCCTGCCTCACATGCCAGGGGACCGGCCTGCCCCGGTCAGCTGCACCACACCAAAGGTGGTTAGTATTAGAAACACCTTCTCTTACATGCTGGGTACTTCAGTTATGACATCATTTCATTTAATGCACCCACTCCTTAAGTAAATGAGGAAACCAAGGCTCCTGGTGTTCAATGACCTGCCCAAAGTAGGGGGAGTGGGAGGTAAGATATTACACATACATCAGATGAGCATGGTCCGGGTCTGCATTCAGTATCTCCCTACTCCTATGACAGTGGAGTTCACACAATCAGAGCTGGTGCTCCAGAGAACAGTCCTCCTCCCAGTAAACGAGACCAAAATGCACTTTTGAACACGTGGAGATGTCATTCTACTGACATGCCTCAATTAGGCCAGGATGGAACTTCCTTATCAAGTGCACCCACACAAACAGAAGCTTGGGGTGCCCTTCCAAACTGGAGCTCGCAGAATGGGTGCCAAACCTGCTTTGTCATGTCAGCGCAAGTTACACAGAGACCTTTAACTGAGTGGATTTTTCTCCAAGGCCCTATCGGCTACAGAGAAGACCATGAAGCTTAGGATGTCAAATGAGCAATCTCCAAATGAGATCTATGATCGTATTTTTCACCGATAATCTGATTTCACACAAATGCCTGCCTCATGGAAACATGAAAATCTATCTAGGAACTATAAGGCAGCCAAAACAGGACCATGGAGAGGGGGTGGGAAGTAAGACAAGGGGGCTGCAATATGATATGCTCTGGGACATCTGGAAATGTGAAATATAGAGGATATTTGTAGAGTATCCTCTACAAGAGTAAATAAACTACCAACCTTCCAAGAAACTGGACTTCTCCTCGATGGTGATGAGGAATAGACTTGTACTTCCCCGTGTCACCTTCTGGCCGGCTCACAGAGTAGCCTGCATTCTGTACTCTGTCCGAGACAAAAACGTTGGGCTAGATAGATAAAATGATCAAGTACCACAGATGACCACACCTGTGCCGAGGTTGAGAAATCCCAAGATAAACAACAGAACTTCTTCTGCATCCAAATATTCAATTGCTTACCCTCTGGATTAAGTTCATGGCTTTAGAAAAGTAGGCCTACAATACAAAAGAGTGTTGAAAAAGAAAAGAAATTCGAAATTCAAAATTTTGGGATAAGGCATGATGCAGGTTCTCAGCAACAGGTCCAACAGGGAGCATTCCCCAGGAGATGAGTGCACACATACTCTCTCCCTGCCGGCTTCTTTGGGACCTATCAAAAATGCTTTTCTCACTGGTGGACAGCATCTTTCCTGTCCATAAACTACTATAAAGCAAGTCAGTAAAGCCAGAGTAGCACTGTGTTTTCCCTGCTTATGAACTTAATTACTCTGCCCACCTCCCCCATCGCCAGGGAGATGAACTAATTTGTATGACACCCTCTGATCTAGATGTAAAACTTCACAACACTATGGGGAAAGCAGAACTAAGGAGGTGTTTGGTTATTAATCCTTAATGTGATAAAGACAGGATTTCCCAAGTTGGGTTTACTGGAAGAAATAATACGTGGAGGTAGACTTTGGATATCTATGTGAAACTTATGGTTGTCTTCATATTTTAAAACTGTGGGAGAATATTATTTCAACATCCTCCTTTTAACTCCAAGTTACACTCTCCTTTTGATATTAGGAAATGCATTCTTGCTCTTGATTTGGTAAGTGCATAGAGAATGTCTACTGTGTGCTTGGGAATTGTGCAGGGCACTGGGGTGAACCAGCTCCTGTTCCTGTGCCCGGGGGCTCCTGCTGAGCTGGGGACAGTGCAAGCTGAGAATTATGACAGATGTCCTGGGAGAGCTCAACCAGTTACGTTCATGGAAAACTGTTCATCCTCACTAGGTTCCTTCTTTTTTTTTTTTTTTTTTTTAATTTATGATAGTCACAGAGAGAGAGAGAGAGAGAGAGAGAGAGAGAGAGGCAGAGACACAGGCAGAGGGAGAAGCAGGCTCCATGCACCGGGAGCCCGACGTGGGATTTGATCCCGGGTCTCCAGGATCGCGCCCTGGGCCACAGGCAGGCGTCAAACCACTGCGCCACCCAGGGATCCCCCTCACTAGGTTCCTAAGAAATCCAAATGGATGGATTAAAAGGAAGAGATGCCATTTTTACCTCTCAAACTGAGAAAGATTATGTCTGGACCTCCTCTGTCCAGTACAGCAGCCCCGAGCCACATGTGACTACTAAAGGGCTGAAGTGTGGCAAAATGTAAAAGGTGGTTTATAACCAGTAATGTAAGAAAGTAGGAATGTTGATGCACCACTGCTCAGACTCTTCTGCAACCTCTTTTGGAGAAAAATCCTGACCATAACTTTCCAAATTTGAAAGAGCATTTATTTGACTCTGTAGTTCTACAACTAGGGATTTAATTTGAAGAAATACTTGCATAGGTGAACAAGGATATTCAAAATTGTAAACAATGTTCCTTGACAGGAGAGGATTAAAATAAAATTATCATGTATCTACATAAAGGAATACCATGCAATTGTTAGAGATAATGAAGCGGCTCTCTCCATATTAACATGGTTGGAAAGAGAGACAGGATGGGTCTGGGTTGTTTGTATATGGTTATAAAGATGTAGAGAAAGAGCCCTGTTAAAATGGCTACTTCCTGGGAACGAAATAGGACAAAACCATTATGCTGTTTGGTTTATACGCCTTGTATTATCTGACTTTTTACCAGCAAGTATTACATTGTAATTAAAAATAACACCTAACTTTTTTTTTTAAAGCCCCTCTATAAAGTCAACAGATAAGAGGTGGAGATTCTTTTGCTTATTTGTTCCTTATTAGGTTACTGTTTACTTATTACTCTGCAAAAAGATCAGTTTACACTACTCAAATATAAGATCATTCTTGCAAACTTGTATAATCCAAGTCTTATCTGATAGTAGAGGCAAATCTGTGTACACTCATCACGAATATGTGACCTCTGGCTTGGGGAGGTTTTAGTGAAATGTACTATGAATATAAAACAGATACCAGATTTCAAAGGTATAGTGAGAGAAAAAATAAATGTGAAGCATCCCATTAATTCTTCATACTGATTATATGTCAGAAGGATATTATTTTTAATATATTGTGATAAATCTACTGTTGGCATGTATATTAATACATTAAAATTAATTTCATCTTTTTTTCTTTTTTTAAAGATTTTATTTATTTATTCATGAGAGAAAGAGAGAGAGAGAGAGAGAGAGAGAGAGATTGGCAGAGACACAGGCAGAGGGAGAAACAGGATCCATGCAAGGAGCCTGATGTGGGACTCGATCTGGGGTCTCCAGGATCACACCCTGAGCTGCAGCCGGCGCTAAACTGCCGCGCCACCGGGGCTGCCCTTTTTTAACCTTTTTAAACGTGGCTAACTAGGATGTTTCACATTACCTAGATGACTTACACCCTACATCTCATGCACAGCACTGGTCTGAGGAGCCTAAGGTAGCATTTTTAGATGGTACCGAAACCAGAAGAGGGGAGTACCTGTTCCACAGGTCGTCATCTTCTCCACCCCAACCCCAGAAAGCGTTCGGAAAGCCATTGATCTTCCGAAACTGTTCCACTGTTAAGCCGCTCACTCCACCAAAGAACTCAGTGTAAGGAAGCCTAGAAGGAGACATACAGCTTCGATCATCTGGGAATCCAAGGATGGTTTCTTCCCCTGGGAAGAGTCACCATTTCACTGGAGAACTCTGTCTTTTGTGACACAGTGCACTCTGTGCTACTACCCTGAACCACCTGCAGCCATTTCCTCATGCTGAGACGCAGGGATCTTTGTAGCTAACTACGTGTTTCCCTAATTGCTATGTTTCATAACAGCTTTATTGAAACATAACTGACATTCCAAATGATTCACCTAAAGTGTATAATTCCATAGTTTTTAGGCTATTCACGGAGTTGTGCAACCATGAACCCCAATCCATTTAAATACCTTTCATCACCCCAAAAAAGAAACCTTGTACCCATTAGCAGTCACTCCTCGTTCCCCCTCCTCCCTGCAATCACTGCTCGGTCTCTATGGATTTGCTTATTCTGGACAAGTCATGGGAGTACAATCATGCAACATGTGGCCTTTGGTAACTAGCTTCTTTCACACAGGAGTGTTTTCAAGGTTCATTAATCTGGTCACATGTATCAGGACTCCATTCCTTTTTACTGCCTAATAGTGTTTCCATGCTGTGGCTGTGCTAATTGGATTTTGCCATCTTTGCATCTCTCAGCATCCTTTTAGATTTAACCTCTTCCAGAGGAAATGATACTCACAGATACATATACTTGTCCAACTTCGTTGCAAAGTGCCTTGGCATCTGCCCACATCCATAGTAGTTCCGATCGCTTTCTGGTATATGATCCACATCATGAAAAATAAGACAGTCCCAGTCCAAATCCTTCATTGCTTCTTGAAAACCGACGTTGAAAAGCATGGCTCGATTAAAAGGTTGGGTGCCAACCTATAAGAAACAGGACTTTATTTTTTAAAAGGACTCGAGGAGCAAAATCTTCACTGCCTCCCAGCCTATAGGAGAGCTTACTGAACCTGATTAGGACAGGTTACTGAGCCAGAGATGGCTTGGCCAGCACACTCATCACTGCCTCACAAACCACTTGACATCTGGCCTCAATTTCCTTAGAAATAAGAAGGTTAACAAGCCCAAGCTCCTCTCTCCCAAGACTGTCATAAAAGCAAGCATTTGACCTCTAACAGCATCTGGAGGAGTATCCAGCCTCATAAAGGAAAGAAAGAACAATATAGCCATTTTTACCCATGGCTCCTTATCTTAAGGGGAATTTCCTGGGTCGGAAGACCAAAAACACCACCCAAAACAGCTCTGACTAAAACACCATACAAGGGGCCTTTGTTTAAGGGTAAACAAAGTTCCCTCCTAGACTCAAGTCAGCCAGTGTTGAGAAACATCCCAAACCAGAAGCATAGAATTGCTTTCTGCTCCCCCTTTCAGCTCTGGGTGGCTCAATCCTAAGATTGCAGTTTTGCTGGCTCTGCACTCCAAAGGTGGATTGGCTGAAAGTGCTCTAAACTGCTATCTCAGAACAGAAAGAATAGGAAAGGATGGGCCACTCACTTGCTCAACCACATAAAATGCAAATCGCAGGCGCTGGCGCTGAAGCATGGGAATCAGGTGTCTGAGCAGGACTGGGAGGTGCTCGTGGCGGTTCCGGAAAGGGATGAGGATTGCCACCTGGAGAGGGTCACAGCAGAAGAAGCCGCCTGGTTACCCCCTCGACTTCTGCTTTGTAGCAGGACACAGCCATGGAATCAGTAACCAGCTAGTTTCTGGGGTGTTCTGGAAGGTTGCCTTGTCCTCAACCTCAACTAAACAAAGAGCTATGTTGGCAGGTAGGCCCCTGTAGTACATGAGTGAACTTTGTTCTTACACGCACCATACTTTGTACATAGTGGGCCCACTGAATGAATTCACTCTAGACCACAACCCAGAGGAAGATATTCATTCTACACCATGACCCGGCACACAAACATGTCCATATATAAGCATACAACTAAAATGCACTCCACAAAATAGTACTTCCCCTTATGACAGGCAGCGCACTTTGAGATTATATATAGAGGGATCTATATGTATGTATGATCCGTACATATATATGAATTTTTAAAAGAATGCTGGTCATTAAATTGATATTATATCCCAGTGACAGGCTGGAAACACCCATCTAGTCCAGATCTGCTTTGTTCATTGCAGGACTGGCACAGAAGCAGCACTTGAGCAAATACTTGCTGAAAGAATAGAAGTGAGCCAGATCTACACACTGATGCCTCCTGATTGTAGTCCTGTAGAAAGCCACTAAGCAATACTAAGCATCAGGCTGGAAGCTCCACTCTTTGTTGTACTAAACTCATGGTAAAAATGCCAAACAAGGCACCAAGTACTGAATTTGTGAAGATGGCTTTTACAAATGTGGCATGAGAGACCCACCAACACTCCCCCTTGTTGAACCAGTATTCTTAAAAGGAGACAAAAGGGTCCTGCTCAGTCATAGGACTGATGTCCATTTCTGGAACTAGAGAGTATCCTTAGGGAAACCCACACCTCCAGAGTGTTTCCATCGAATGCAGATACTTTGCATTGGGTCGTAGGGTACAAATTAAGAATTATCATAGTCCGTGAATCCCATGGTGTCCTGGAATGATGGCAAGGCCAGATGCCCTTCCCAGCACCTCAGGCCTGATTTCACACCCTACCTTCCATCGAGGCAGGCAATCTGAAGGCTTCCAGTGACCTCCGAGCTTGATGGCTGGGTCTTTAGAGAAGATTTCATGGATGTCATCCATTGCGATTTCACTCATGTTTATGTCTATTGGGCCCTCTGAACAGAGAGGGGGTGAGGGAAGAAAAAGAATTAAGAGGCCAGAAAGTGACAGAATGTTTTCCTCCTATGACTGGGGTTTCACTCTCTAGAGAGGTTCAATGCTTTCTTCAGCTGACTGTGTTTGTCACAAGAGATGTGAGGCCCTTCCCCTGCTTTGCAACTCCCTGCATTTCAGTTCATCACTATCACTGGGTTAAGCAGCAAGTCAAGAAATTAAGACTGAGGGGAGTGTCAGCTGAACTTCTCCAAGGGGAAGGAGGGAAGAAAGAGGCTGAGCTTGGAGCCTTTCTGCACACTTTGAGGCAAGCACAGACACAGGGTCCTTACTCAGTGACATTCGTCATATTATCAAACAAGTTATAATCAGTGTGGGATTTATACTGAAAGATAAAGCTGGTTGCCTGTACTTTCTCTAGGACATCCTAACAGATCCCAAGTCACCAGACACGGGGGATATGCAAAGCAAAGACTGAAAAACATGGTAGAAGATGGCACCAGGAACATAGGCAACTCTGCAGGAGGGGCTGAAGGGGGCCAGGACACACAGAGCTTTCATCTCCTGCTTCCAATGGCGGGGAGACATTTCTAGTCTCCACATAGTGGAGGCGTACTGAGAGATGGAGAACTCTCTCCCTTTCATTTAATTTTTTTGAAGATTTATTTATTTGACAGAGAGAGAGTGAGAGCGCGAGCGAGCATGCACAAGCAGGGGGCGAGGAAGAGGGAGAAGCAGGCTCCCTGACGAGCATCTCCCTTTCACTTTAATCAAATAAACAGACACGTCAGTTTGAAAAGCAGGGTACGCTCTACTCACTCATGGAAGGGAGCCTCTCGGGGCAGGTATGGTTTGCAAAGTAGGTGAAGTCTTCAGGAAGAAATGTTGTGGTTTGTAGGAAGGTTTCACTGTGGTTCAAGTCAAGAGGGTAATCTAGAGAGGTAAGAAAAAAGGCAGCTCAGACCGGCACAAGTCATCAATTCTGCAAGTCTCAGAGGAATACCAAAGAAGCATTTTTCTTAGATATCATCTTTTGCAGAATCAGGACTCTAGACTAGCTCTTCACTGCAGCTAAAAATTTGAACCCATCAATAAAAAGGTTAACCAGATGACACCATTTTAAGCAGTGTCTCTATTCTTACTGTTACTATAGCTTTATATGCTGTGTCCAAAAAACCCTACAATGTAATTAAAAACAAGCAAACAAAAAACAACCAGCAGCCTCCCGCCCCATGTCTTCCTCTCTACAGGAACTAGTTTCACTTCTTTTAGCCAACTGCTTTAAATTTTTTTTTATTTTATTTATGATAGCCACAGAGAGAGAGAGAGAGAGAGAGAGAGAGAGAGAGAGAGAGAGGCAGAGACACAGGCTGAAGGAGAAGCAGGCTCCATGCACCGGGAGCCCGATGTGGGATTTGATCCCGGGTCTCCAGGATCGCGCCCTGGGCCAAAGGCAGGCGCTAAACCGCTGCGCCACCCAGAGATCCCCTAGCCAACTGCTTTAGCATTTACTTCCTGTATAGCTGTTCCAGATAATTCTGTTGTGACTTCCCACTGTGGGGCCTGTGGATTTTTGCTCCCTTCCCTGCCCTGCCCCTACCATACACACACACTTTCATCCTCTTGTCTCCAAACATCTATGATTGCTGTGGTTCAGCCCGTCTTTAGCATCTACACTGAAGTATTTATTCTATAGATACTATTTGTAGTTGAGAAATGTGGGAAGTTATGATTCCTTTTCTTTTCCTGCACAATTTGGTCTGTGGGCTTTGTTTTATATGGAGCCTGACCTAACTGCCACCACCATCCCTCTTAGGACATCCACAAGCATCAGGGATTCTCTCACTTTAGTTTCCCAAAGCAGGTCCCACACCATCCGACCCACTCCAGGCCCACTGGCTCTCCCTTGCACCTGCTATACAGATGTCATCCATCAGCCTCCCTCCCTCAGCATCCTGGAGACTCCCTTCACTGCTCACCAGTGTGAACCCTCACTCTGCCTGGGTTCAATGTTTCCCTTTTTCTTGCTGGAACATATCTTCCAAGTAGCTTCCTAACCAGATGATGGGGAGTGGTTTTTGAAACCTTTGTACACCTGACTGTTTTTGTTCTTTCTTACTTGATTCATAGGTTAGCTGGGTTTATAGAATGCTAGGCTGGAAACAATTCTCCCTAAGGATTGTGGAAGTGCTATCCACTACTTTCTAGATTCCACCTACACCTACCTGTTAAATCTGAAGCCAATTCCAGGTCTTTGTGCAAGTGACTGGGTATTTCTAAAAGTGTGATGAACTCTCTCTCAGTTCAAGAAATGTCACATTTCTATTTTAAGGTCTATTCTTACCCACTGTGTTGACCATTTGACCTTTACAGTCTAGGAATTCATGTCCTCCCTGTTCTAGAATCTGGGTGCAGGACTAGAGGTACCTCTGTGGGGAAGATTCTCTTCCTTCTGTATCCTACGCTCTTTCTGGAGAACAGAAAACATGAGTTAGATGTTGGACTTCCTCGTCCTCTGATTTTCTCATTTTTTTCAATCTTTTTAAGAAAGATTTTATTTATTTGAGAGAGAGAGAGAGCAAAAGAGACAGTGCACGAGTGGGCAGAGGGGCAGAGGGAGAGGGAGAAACAGGATCCCCGCTGTGCAGAGAGCTGGACTCGGGGCTTGGTCCCAGGACCTCTGGGATCGTGACTTGAGCTGAAGGCAAACTAATTGACTGAGCCACCCAGGCACCTTCTAGTCCTTCTTTTAATTATGATTTGTTATTTTTTTTATTTTAAGAAGTCCTTTTTATTTTCTGAATATTCATTTCTTACAATATACTTTTTTCATGTTTGCAATCCTTTTACCCTCACATATCACATATGTGATAGCTGTTTGGCATTTTCTTTCCCCAGCATAGCCTGCTTCTCCCAGTTTGCTGCTGCTTATTTGTTTTGATCTCCAGAACAGTGCTCCTTGGTCACCTGCTAATATTTAAGAATGGGGTACCAATCAGCTAACTGGAAGGGCTCTGACTGAGGTTCTTCATTGTAGGGTGTTCTGGTCAGAAGTCTGGTTTGGAAGCCTCCAGCATCAATATCTTAGGTTCTTTCTTTTTGGTCTAATCAGATTGCCCAGAGAGTGCTATTCTTTTTTAAGATATTTTTTTTTAATTTCTTTTGGGCTTGAACTCATAATCCGGAGACCAAGAATCATATGCTCTCTGACTGAGCCAGCCAGGAGCCCCCAGAGCACTCTAATCTCTTGCCAGAAGAGTGTAGTCCTTTTTACAAGCACACTGGGACAGAAGAGGAGAAAGGAGCTGGGCGCACCTAAGTCAAGCCAGGTGCCCCAAGTTGAGGGGCCCATTTTGCCATCCCTGAGGGTGATCAAGTCTCTAGTCTAGGATCAAGTCTCTAGTCTTTTGCCAGGATGGGGAAAGGATCTGGGTATCTGACTGCTTTTTAAATAGCTTTCAACTAATTTTTATCTTAGCTGCCACTCTTATTCTTATCTGCAAAAGTACTTGATATTGCTAATTCCTGAGCTTCTGGGGGATTCTGCAGTGGTTAGCAGCTTTCCCCGAGGCCACATTAACAGTCTGTCTTCTCGGGTCTGTTGAGCCCTGTATCATTGGTCCGTCTGCTTTCCGACTTCCAACTTCTTGCTCTCTTCATTCTTCAGGGTTTATGCCATTGACCTCCCCCCCCCCCTCACACACACACACACACACACACACACACACCTTCCTGTCGTCCCTAGGGAATCTGTGTGAAAGAGGACCTCCAACTTATGTTTTTACAGATAAAGAAACCAAGGCACCATATACACGACTGGTACAAGGAGACTTGGCTAGTGCACGACAGAGAAACTCTGGGTTAGTGATCTTTCCATTACACTGTACTATTTTTTCAGAGTACTAACATCTTACTCACTGATCCCCTTTGGGATCCAGGCAGGTTCTATGAAAATTAAAACTTCCTACTCAAACTCGCTTTTGCGCTGGAGAATTCTACAATCTTCGACTCAGATGTTTTTTAAACAACATTGTGAAAGGGTTTCCAAGAATCAACAGCTAATAAAATCAGTGAATCTTTTATATAGGCACATACTATCTGCTCTACAAGTGCCCACAGGACACAACTCAGAGTCGACTTGAAGAGAATTCAGTCTCTTAATGGGGGTGGGGGGCAGTGGGGACGGGGGAGGACAGAGAATGCTTTCTATCCTTTTTCTTAACAGCTTTCCTGAAAAACACCAAGCTTGCATTAATGGGCGTACACAAAACCAACATGAACCTTAAAGGCAAAATTACATTTACACAGAAATTAGCCCCAAGTCCTCAGTTTGTACATGCAAACCTGTCCTAAATTGATCTTTTTTGAAGGTATTAACATTTCAAAAAGCTATGTCAAGAACCTCCAATACTAATCATTACTCTGGATAATTCTGATTTTGCTTAATTATATGTGTGTGTGTATAAATATATAAATGATTTTCTTTAAGAAAAGTTTTCACATGTACCAGACAATGTGTATTTTGTGATATGCACATGTGTAGAGGGAAAAGCCACTTTGAAACAGCATCACGGTAATTACATTTGCTTCTCTGAAGGAGAAGAAATTCCCAGAGGCATTATAATAGCATTTTCATAAGCAAATTAAAAAAAATCACAGAAGAGAATAGTAATTCCGAGCAATGACAGAACCAAGCCTTAGAACTATAACCTAAACAGGAAATAAATGAAAACAAAACTAAAATGTAGAAGAGACAAGACACTATCTAGCCTTAGCAATCCTACCTTGAGGGTTTGTGAGAAGATACAGATAAAGCCGTTTCTACTCCCTTCAAACACTAATAAGCCCCATAGCAACCAGCAAAGCAAAAGACAAAAATCAGCACCACTTATTTTTTCTTCTGATTACTAAATTAATAGTCATTTTTTAAAGACCCCACAAATATACTTCTTTTTTTTTTTTAAGATTCCATTTATTTATTTGACAGAGAGAGAGAGAGAGAGAGAGAGAGAGAGAGAGAGAGAGAGAGAGAGTGTCACCAGTAGGCAGAGTGGCAGAGAGAGACAGAGAAACACCCTGGGATCATGAACTGAGCCGAAGGCAGACGACTCACTGACTGAGCCACCCAGGTGCCTCCAAATATACAACTGCTAAGTGGAAGTAAACCTGCCCTACACCTTGAGGAGAAACCTCCCCCCCCTCAAAAACCTTCATTTCCACCTAAAATTTCTTTTTTTTTCCACCTGAAATTTCTAATTTTAAACCTAAAATGTCTAATTTTAAATTCTTTACATAAAAATTTAATTGAGGGCAGCCCCGGTGGTGCAGTGGTTTAGTGCCGCCTGCAGCCCGGGGTGTGATCCTGGAGACCCGGGATCGAGTCCCACATCGGGCTTCCTGCATGGAGCCTGTTTCTCCCTCTGCCTGTGTCTCTGCCTCTCTCTCGCTCTCTCTGAATAAATAAATAAATATTTTAAAAAAATTTTAATTGAAACCTGCTTTCTCACCAGTAGAAACCTTTTAAAGAAGTGGAAGAGGCAGAGGAAATTAACGGCTTGTGAGCTGGTAAAGCTGCCTGGCTACTGTGGGGTGCCAGGTCTCCTTTCCAGCTGCCCAGAAATGGGCACTTCCAAATGACACCTTTTTCCTCTTCCTCTTTTTTTTTTTTTAGATTTTGATTTTTAAAGTAATCCCTACACCCAGTGAGGGGCTTGAGCTCACAACCCGGAGATGCCAAGTCACAAGCTCCCTTGGCTGAGTCAGCCAGGCGCCTCTTCCTCTTACTCTTCTACAGAGCATCCCTCCCGAACAAGGGAGGGGCTGGCAGGATAAAACAAGCCTGATGAATTTCTATGGCCATGGCTTTATTTTTTAATTTAAGTGTAATCTATTTTAAATCAGGACATGTTCTCCCAGCATGGGAGGTAGGAAGGGCAAAGAAGGCACCGCTTCTACATTTATAAAATGGAAAAACAGATATCCTTCCTACCTACAAATTCAGATGGCCTGATTATTCAACTTTGCTTTATACCAGTGGTTCAGCAGCCACGCCTGCACATTAGATCATCTATGAGACTTTAAAAAATCCTAATAATGCCCAGGCTATTTTCCAGATTAATTAAATAAGAACCTTTGGGGTACATGCGTTGATATTTTTTAAAGCCCCGCCTTGGAAGGGTTTTTCCATGTGTACTCGGGCTGATGGCTACCCCAATACATAGGGGTGGCAAAAATCTGCCTTCTCCCTTATCTTACCAAACCCAGTTGAGCAGGGACTGGGAAATGCTGACCAATAGATTCCAGGAAGAACGACCACTTTCCCTTTCCATTTGAGAAAAGACCGAACACTTGCCTCTCTGCTTGAAAAATGTGGAAATTTATATATACTAGAAAAACGTCATCAGAATGAATATCTGTACAATATAAAGAATTAGCATTTTTCACAACTTAGCATGCCTAAGGATGACCCTGCACCTGCTCAGTGAGCAGACATTGGAATGCTCATGGGCTGAGCATCTAAAAACTGGGAAGAATATCTAGCTCACTGAATATATTACCAAACACCCCGGCAATGACTTTATTCATGTTATTTGCTTATGGCAACAGACCTGTTTCCAAGGATGTGGGCAAGAGAACATTCTTCTGAGTACGTGACTATAAGAGGGTCTGGGCCAGAGATGTGAGAAGGTTTGTGTGTATGTGTGTATGCACGTATATATAGAGGTAAGAAATGTCCCTCTGGGTGAAAGTTACAGGTAGAATGAAATCTCCAAACTCATATTTAAGAATGAGAAAGGACAGGTTACTCAACCACTCACCTTATCCATAAGACTAAGTGGGGGGGAGGGGGCTGCCGGGTGGCTCAATAGATGTATGACCCTTGATCTCAGGTGGTGGGTTTGAGCTCCACTGTGGGAGTAGAGATTACCCCAGAACAGAAATAACTTTAAAAAAGAAAAAAAAAATCCTAAGTGGCTGGACAAGATGAACCCAGAGAATTTTATTCTGATGCCAATGTTCTTTTGAGCATCTCTGCCACTACTCACAGGAAGCTCTGCAGGATTCCCAATCTCACACACACATGGCTTTCGGTGACAAGAAACTGCTTCTCTAAGTTATCACATCAGGTGTATTTCCTGGCTTACAGTCCTCATTCCCTAAAGTGCATTCTTATTAGACAATCACCATTTTAGCTTTCAAAGGTAAAGAAAACTAGCATTACTTAAACGTCACACAAGGGTTTTCAGCTACACTTGGCCTAATGAAGGCCGCAGATTGTAGGTGCATGCCCTTGCTGTGTCCAGGGTGCATGCAGCAGCAGAGCTCACAGAACCACCTCAGTCCTGTGACCACCACAGTCCTGCTACCTTTGTCAAGCCTCCCAATGGCTCCTGGAGGGAGTGGTCAGGTCAGAAATGACAGTCACCCAACCATCTCAGCAGCTTCAGGCCCAGAGTCTTCCCTCTGACCGTGACAGAGAACTACTTTGAAATGAATAAAAATGGTGGGTTTTCACTGGATTCACTGCCAGTGAAATACTACTTCCTTTTTAATACTTCCACTCCCCAAGGATGTGCCAACAACACAGAAGCCAATTAAGATGGTAATCTCGGAATTAGGTTACACATAAAATGTTTTCTTGTTAAATCTATTCACTCGTGCACTCAAAAACCACTTCCTGAGGGGCCTATCTGCTAGGCAGTATAATTGTGCTGGGGCTACACAGACTGGAGAGGCAATGAAGGCACTGTGGGTTCCTAGAGGTCAGCAAGCTCAACCCCACAGCCACATCAAGTCCTGTAACTCCTGGGTGCTTCTGCCCTCTCATCTCTAAAGTGGGAACACAGCATTTACCACACTGAGTTCCTATGACAAGTCCACAAGGCAATGCAAGTAAACTGTCTAGCACATAGTAAGACAGCCCCTGATAGCAAAGACTTCCAATTTATAAGGGAAATAGATACCATGAACACAAAATGGATTATTACTCCAACCAGAGGGATGCTGGCAAGAAGTATTTTGGTGTATTATAATTTGAAAATAAACACACGTAAAGTTAAATAAGAACGAGTCCCAGGATATGCCTTCCAAGGGTGCAAGTACTCAGTACCTGGTTTTCAAGGACAATAAGTCCTGAGGGAGTCAGTGAGATCCTGTGCTTGTGAAGGGACAGGAATCCTGCTTGTGCCCTGCTAACTTCGGAGATAAAACAGACTACTTCGCCAAATGCCCAGATGGAAGTCCTAGCATCATCTGACATTGGCCAGGCATGAACACTTGGGACTGGATAAATGTCATGGCAGCACAAATATTCCTTTTTCCTCACTGATTCATCAGGGAAAGAGCTCTGGAGAAGCAAAGGACTCCCTAGTTTCATCACACGATGAGAAGCAGGTTTGGGGTGGGATTCAGGAAAAGTCATATGACCCATCACTCCAACACCCCCAAGTTATTTGTATTACACAGAAGTAGAAGTCACATAAAATCCTGCCTACTGGACAGGGCCACGCTTGAGTCAAGGGAGACATAGTGTGTGGGGATTATTTGCAAAGTCTAACGCCACACACGATGAATTAGGAAACAGAAGTGTGCTCAGTCTTCTCCCAAGACCTCAGGCACTCTACTGGTTCCTCTTCCAGGTCTGGTTCAGAGCTCAGGTAATTGTCCCCTGAAACCACAATTTGGCTGAAAACTCTGAAAAGTCAATCACTTGCTCTTTGCAAACACGAAAAGGAAGTATTAAAGCTTCAGTTTGCTAACTCTACTCCTTTGTTGCTAAGGTGGCCAGCAGGGCAGACTGAAGATAAACGAAGATGTGGTCAATTCTTTTAAGAATTTCACTGCTCTCTGAGAGACAATGCTTTCTCCTGAGATCCCAAGCACCACAGAATTCTCATTTGCAATGTTTGCAAAGCAACTTCACATTCTACAGTGAGCTTTGGACAATCACAGGACTCACTACAGAAGAAAAGAGGGCTAATTTGGAGAAAAGAATATTTCTTAAACGATGCTCAGAATACTGCACTAGGCTTGAGTGGAGTGAGGAAAGCACATTAGTTCTCAGTTAAAGAAATAAAAGGCAAATCACAAATGCTTAGCAAAATAAAATCTCAGAATCTATTTTTTAAATAAAAATCGCCCCTGGCCAGATAGGAGAAGCCTCACGATCGTCCCATTTAACCATCTGGAAATACTTTCTATGTTCAATTTTTGGAAGAGTTAAAAAGAAAGACAAAAAAGACAGCTTTCAAAGGTGAAGAACTCGCTGTGTTTAGCGTTTATAAAAATAGTTAAGAGTCAAAACTATGATTCAGGAGCAAGTTCTTTTAATATAATGTTAGGCAAGCCATCTAACCTCTGTGTTCTTTCTTCCTCTTTTTATAATTACTGCTTATAAGATAATAAAAGCCACAAGTAAAAGTTCCAAAGATCGAGAAGGCAGAAATGTTCATTCTTGTGTCCGTCATTGCTATCTTTAGCTTAACAGTCTGAAAAGCCTTCTGCAAAGCTGAATGATTCTAACCACCAAACTCAGCCATGTAGCAAGCAGTAAACCACAGGATGAAAACCACACCTGACAAGGGAAGGTAAACCAGGTGAACAATGAAACTTTTTCCAGAAATTGCTTTTTTAATTTGTGGAGACTGTCCTAGATTATGTGATTATTAGGAAATGGAAAGTTGTTAAAGTCTCAAAGCATTCATAAACAAGGTACACAGTCCTACTGGGCTGACCAAACTCAAGCACAGTCCAACAGGAAGAAAAGAGTTGGAGCAGCTCTTACAGTGTGGCAAGAAGAGCCAGATTTGCTTTGAAAACACCGTGGAGAGGCGCCTGGGTGGCTCGGTCGGTTAAACATCTGCCTTTGGCTCAGGTCATGATCCCAGAGTCCTGGGATCTGAGTCCACATTGTCAAGTCCATATTGTTGGGCTCCCTGCTCAGGGGAGAGCCTGCTTCTCCCTCTCCTTCTGCCCCTCCCCCCTAGTTGTGTTCTTGCTGTCTCGCTCTGTCAAATAAATAAACAAGTAATCCATAAAAAAGAAAATAAAATGGACCACCACTAACACCACCATATGCAACAAAACAAACCAACCCCACAATGTTGAGCTGTTAAATAAGTAAGTATAAGGAAGTCTGGTTGTATGGGAACATTTTTTGAAATCAAATTCTTTCCAGAAACAGCTTTTGGTTGCTCCTGTTTTGCTGGTGTCCTAAACATACGCTTCATTTTGGTACTCTCTTGGAGGCTAGACCACTGAAAAAAAAAGGGGGGGGGTCTTAAAAGATACTCCTTACCTCCTCTACCCTGAAAAGTCTTAGGAGTGAAACTGCAGTTATCCAGCCACCCTTAATGTTGTTGTCAGCAACATGAACAAGGATTCATTTTGCAAGTCTCTTTTTTAGTAACGAGGTAATATGACCGGCCAAACCTTCTCTCTTTTATAATGCACTTTTTCCCATCAAAAATAATTATTCGAGCCAAATTTACCTTTGTGGGGAGGAGACATTCTTTTTTTTTTTTAAATAGTTTTTTTTTTGTTTGTTTTTTTTTTTTTTTAGATTTTATTTATTAGAGATACAGAGAGAGAGAGAGGCAGAGACACAGGCAGAGGGAGAAGCAGGCTCCATGCAGGGAGCCCGACGTGGGACTCGATCCCCAGTCTCCAGGATCCTGCCCTGGACCAAAGGTAGTACTAAACCGCTGAGCCACCCGGGCTGCCCGGGGAGGAGACATTCTAATCAGACCACTTTTCTACTAACAATATACCTGAGTCATTCACACTGCTATTCCTCTTCGCATAAGCACTGCGAACCACCTGCTCATAAACCTGAGCGCCAATAGTTCTCATGTTGTCCCGGATCAGAATGCCTTGAGCTTGCATCATGAAGAGGTAGGTGTTCACTGCAGAAGACAGAAGGGAAGGGGAAAAAGACGTGAATTCAAAAGCAATCATTAAAACAAAACAAGAAAACAAACATGTTTGGGCTTTCCTTGTTTCTCTCTTTAAAAAAAAAAAACACAAAAAACTTATTTCAGTTCTAAAATCCCAAAATGCCTTACCTCTATTTTTCATACTGGGCTCTATGTTTCCAGGATAACAACATTTCCTGGGTAGCTCAGTTGGACTAAGGGAAATTTCTGTCAGTATTCGGCAGTGTTAGGAGGAAAATCCAAACAAAACCCATAAATTAAAAAAGCTATATTCCACCAAGTCTTCAAATATCCAGTCTGTATCCCAGCACTGTGATCACAAAACCTTTATGGATTGATTAAAACAAGTATTAAAAACAATCTCATCTCACTTTAAGTTTACTTCCCCAGTGCTCACTGGCTATCCTCAGAGAAAGGAAAGCAATGATCGTTCTGCCTACTAGAAACATCTAGGTCCAGATCTGGTCTCGGCCCTAAAATCCAAAGCAACGGGAAGAGAACAGACAGTTTGGTCCCAGTGTCAATTGAAACACACTCCCTTTATAATATATACAAATACTGAACTATTACGTTGTACACCCGAGACAAATACGTCAACTATACTTCAATAAAAGCAAAACAGAACAAAAAATTCATTCTTAAACACATGATTATTCAGCTTAACAGTCCAATCATTGTCATCCCTAGGGAAGGAACTCCCTAGGGAAGGAACTCCACTTGAGTTTTTCTGAAGTGTCTCTGAGATGTGAAATGAGGAAGTCAAAAAGATGACTCAGTAGAGTTCCTGTATTCCCCCTTCCAATCTCAAACACCATGCCACCCATTTTCAAGGAGCTGTAAGGTTTTAAAAGACGGCTTCCTACCCAGCCATTCTAATCTACCCACTTTTCTCTTCACCACTGTAAAAAGGGGGCGTGTCTTACAGGGGTGGCATATTCACAAATCCAAACTCTGGTGTGCGCTGGAGATAATCTGGACGGTTGGCTGCCCTCCAACCAGGCCTCAGGCAGATATGCTACCAACAACCTGGGCCACTCTGCCAGACTTGATACACATGGCCTCAGGCTGTCCTGGCTCTTCCACAAGACATATTTTATTGACACCACTTCATCAGTATTATCACAGTGTCCTGTACACAATGCGCAGTAAATAATGACTAAATGGATGAACCCTAGATGTCAATTTACTTTATTTCAAGCTACTGTGTTTGGTGCTTGTACTGGTGACAGGGGTGGGGATGGGGACAGACCAACTGGCAAAACGCTCCATGAAAACCCCAGGTTGCCCACATTAAACAGGGACATAAACCTAAGGATAGCAATGATCTCTAAGGTATATCCTGAGCCATAAAATAATAAAAGACAAGTCAATGTTCATAATGCTCTCAGAACCAAGGTAGTTTCAAAGTAGGCCTTGCAGCAACTGGAAGACAACCATAGGTCAATTTCTGGCAGGGGCAGAGTAGAGATCAGATAAGAGTATTTATTCTCTATGGCCAGGAAAGTTATGGGAAAAGATAGCTCCAAATGCTTAAAAAAAAAATTCTGTGAAGCCAGTAAAAAGCAAGAGCCACATCTCAGTTTTTATCTACAGCAGATAGCACAGTGCCTGGTCACAGGGGTAAGACAGTCTAGAAATATCCCTAAACAGAAGATATAAACTCCATCCAGTATCGAATTTCTAATTTTTTTTTTTAACATTTGGGCTACAAAGTAAGTACATTATACATATTACATATAACTGCCCTGAAATCTTCCTTCTATCCCCAACATAATACTAAACTAGCTGTCTTCAAGAATATGAAAACAAGGGCAGCCCGAGTGGCTCAGCGGTTTAGCGTTGCCTTCAGCCCAGGGCGTGATCCTGGAGACCCAGGATGGAGTCCCGTTTCGGGCTCCGTGCATGGAGGCTGCTTCTCCCTCTGCCTGTGTCTCTGCCTCTCTCTCTCTCACGAATAAATAAATAAAATCTTTTAAAAAAAAAGAATATGGAAATATTTATTTATTTATTAAAGATTTTATTTATTTATTCGTGAGAGAGAGAGAGGCAGAGACACAGGCAGAGGGAGAAGCAATCTCCATGCAGGGAGCCCAATGTGGGACTCGATCCTGGGTCTCCAGGATTACACCTTGGGCTAAAGGCAGGTGCTAAACCTCTGAACCACCCAGGGATCCCCGAAACAAATATTAAACATTTCATGTAAGGCTGTTAGCTGGGCACTGCAAAAAATATACCACTTCCCTTCCTCTAAAGTTCAGTCTTCTTCATACTTTTATCTTCTGCACTGCAAAGGACACTGCTGTTGGCTCCTCTTTTAAATTCTCCACCCCTACCCTACTTTTTGAAGATTTATTCATTTATTTGAGAGAGCCAGCGAGCAAGCAGGGGGAGGGGCAGAAGGAGAGGGAAAAGCAGATTCCCCACTGAGCACGAAGACAAACACAGGGCTCAAGTCCAGGACCCCCGAGATCATGACCTGAGATGAGGCCAAGAGCCATCCAGGCGCTCCCTCCCTCTATTCTGGAATCCCAAGTGGGGCCCATGAATTTGCACTTGCATCAAGCTCATAAGTGATACCAATGTGGAGGGTCTGAGGACATTTCCAGAACGATGGCTCTAGAGAACTTCAGCTACATAATAAATAATGAGTAAAATTGAGCCCTTAATTATGTAATTCTTTATTTCATTTAATCCTCATAATTATTCTAAGAGGCCAGTAATACTATTCAATTTACAATTTCTAGATCTCAGGTTCTCCATGCAGCTTCACCAAGGTCAGCTGAGCAATGGACCTTGCACCAGGTATATCTATGCTCAAAGGACTAAGCTCTAAGACCTCGCTCATCCCTCAAAGATTTCAGGTACCCACATGGTCTACACGATTATTGCTAAGAAGGCAGTCTTTATCTCCTCCACAAAGGTGCCAGATGGATCTTTCTTAATTACAGATTTATCCATGCTGCTCCTGCTCAAAAGCCTTCCATCCAGGGGCTTCCGCTCCCCTGTCTGCCATGCAAATCTCATTAATTCTTCAACCCCCAGTTTACATATATCTTCGGTCCTCCTCAAATTTCTGCAGTACTGTTACAGATTATTAAAAAATGTGCCTTTTGTTTATATTTTGTCTTAGTTGGCTGTCTCACATGTTAGGGTTGTCATTCAATTAACAAATGTACATAAACCACCTATTTATGCTCTTTCTGATTATCTACAGGAATTAGCACAATGCTGAAAAAAATAAAAGGGTGAGGAAGAAAATAAACACAAATTCATAGCCTCAGGATTGGACGGGATTGTGAAGAATACTTTTCAACACCTTTAATGCTTCCACACCAACCCCACAACCATGCCTTCCAAGAAGACTGAGTCAGTATGTAAAATACAGCCGTCTTCGAAGAAAATCCTACTTTGGGTTGGTTCCAAAATGTTTCCCAATCACTTTTACCCACTGGTTCTCATTCCACCTCTTGACAGAACAGTCAAATCCCTTTCTCCCGCCTGGGATAGCCCAAGACAGCATTTTCAATTTCCCTCCACCCACCTAACCCGGCCCCGCCTCCCAAGGCTAGGCAGCCCCTCGTCCTTGGTGTGCCCCTCCTCCACATCCTGGCTGCTGGCCTGGGGATACTGGCCCGGCAGTCTTCACTTGACAAGAAGTGGTGCCATGCTCACAGAGCAGTCCAGGTGCAGGCTGATGCGCCCAGAAACAAGCAGGACCACCAGCAACCCTCTTCCATTTGTTACAGAGTGGTCCACTAGACCCCCTTTTGGTGATTCACAATGCAGGATAATACAAGGCTTAAGAAATTCTACACCAGAGATGTTCAACTATCTAAAACCAGTCACGTCCCAAACCAGCCCTACTTCCTCCAGATGATTAAGCAACATCAAGTGATTCCATGCAGAATTTTGGGAAATTCTGTTTTAGACATTTCTATTAACAGAATTTAGAAGTTGCCATTATTTGTGGGTAATCAACTGATAATTGCTGAATGTCCTGGATAAACAGCAGTCACACCGAATCATATTAAGCTTGCTGGAGGCAAAAATCCTCCATTCTTTCTAAATATGGGCTGCTAAAGCTGCCTCTTTCGTCTTTTGTGCTCAGGCATTTGGTTATAAGGATCAAACCGCAGAACCTTACAAATATCCCCATTAAAAGTCCTGTTACTAAATTGGCATGTGGATCCGGCCTAAGCTAGGAAGTTCATATGCACACACATTGCTTTTGATCTAAATTATCTCATTTAAAATTCACATCTTTGTAAGGTAGATATCATCTTGATTTTTTATTTTAGATAAGGAAGCCAAGTCCTCCATAAGTCATTTACCCAAGGTCACATGGTCAGTGAAGTAAAAAAAACAGAGACAAGTGACATCATTTTGAAGTTTTTGGGAAAACAGTACTTTCCAATAATATGGTCTCTATCATTGGTTGCTGAATCACAGCTGAAAAAAAAAACCACCCTAATTTAAATTGGCACACACTTGTTAAGTCCTTCATTGTGTCAACAAGTATCTACCGAGCACCTGCTTTCCTGGGTACTTTTTACAGGCAGTACTGGCCACAGGGGGCCAAGGAAAAGTAAGACAACACAGAATAAGGTACAGACACAAATATGAAATTATAAAGCAGGGTGATAAATGCTAAAATAACATTTACTACAAATTCAGGCTTACCAATTACTTTCTTACACTTCCACAAGAAACCGTAATTACTATCCAGCCCCAGTATCTAGGTTGAGGGACCTCTCATGACCATAATGCAGTGGAGAAAAATAAGCTCCATTCAGGTTTACATAATTGGAAATTTCCATCCAGGTGCCAATGTAAGCAGCCTTGGGCCATGGCATTAACTGAAGCGTTTCTGGGAGCAAAGCCCTGGGTCTCCTTAACCGGAAGACATACTCTACTTTCCATTAGAATTCCGGTCAGCCTCCATATCCACATGAATCAGGTAAATGATTTTC